CAAAAGAGGCAAAAATCTGTGCGACTCCTTATGGAAAAGCGAGCATGTGTTGGAAAATCAATCAAAAACACTCACATGAGCCTTTTCGTCCTGCGATCAATTGGTATAGGTATCGTAGAGTTCAGCAGAGGGCTATCTTCATCCGAATCCCCTCTGACGGGACTACTTCTTTCGTCAGCAATAACATGCTCAACACTTGAAGGAATGGAAACAGATGGCCGAATTTGAGAAAAGAAAACGCCTCTAAATGAACCATAGCTTACATACCATACAAGAGAGGAACATCATTATCAATAAATTACCCACCCTACAATGACCATCGATAAACCGAGATAGTTCAATAAAGGTAATGCAGGAATGGTAGCCTTCACACCAAACAAGCCAAATCTAGAATTACAGCTAAATTTTTAAAACGACAGGTAAGCGCGGTACAGGACAAATTTTCCCTGCACTCAGCGTAGGGAATGTGAAGACAAATTCAGTTAGTTACACATGATTTGCGAGGTTTCTGCTTAGATCAGGCCCGCTTTCTCATAGTTATTAATGGCCGATGTCAGACTTTGCGATTGGAGCGATTTTGCACCAATTGCAGGAGCGACGGATCGCTCAAGCGATGCGAGCGACGGGAGATTTACGAGCGGCGCCGTGTGTATCGGTATTCGGCGGGGTAAATCTCCCGTCGCTCGCATCGCTCAAGCGATCCGTCGCTCCTGCAATTGGTGCAAAATCGCTCCAATCGCAAAGTCTGACATCGGCCATTCTATGACAAGCGTAGCACCTTGTCACTGTTGTTACAGTTCTCGAAGCCTATGCGGGAGACACATTCGCAGAGGACGCACTTAAACTTATTGCAGCTCCTGCCTTTTAGAATCCCAAAATGAACTGTTACCTTCCCACAGCCCATCCACATACGCAGTTGGTCGCTCCCCAAATCAGCATTCCCATTCCAAGACCAAGAATATTCATAATAGGCACAGCAGTAACATTACCTTCAAATCAGAAATATTAAGTTTGGCCACAAATGATGCTAAATAAATACTAGAACAAAACTATCAACTTTCAGGCTATTTATCGAATTTCAGCAGTGGTAGAAATAAAGAATGCAATGCAAAGTGAATTGCTCTTGAAAAATACACATATAATAAATAGTTGCTGACTGCTCAAAATGCAGAACCTTAGAAACTAAGACTTGAATAAAATAGTGTTAGCAGACTCTAGATAGTCGAGAGCAAACCTAATAGCCTCAGCCTTAAGTTACCTTTGCAATGCTTTCGTCATGGACAACAATTTAATACAATTAAAAAGGTGAACGGGAGGTGAAACATACCTAAAGCCCAGAGTACTCCACCAAGCATAGCAAATGGTTGCAATTTAGGGAATGATTCGAAAGCATTGACAGCCATTCCGAAGCAAAGTATACCAACAGCCATAACCCACTGTACTACAAAAATCCCTAGAAAAAAGCATACGACTCCTACAAAAAACAAAACAACGGAAAAAACAACTCAGCGGCACTGTAAGAATCCCACCATTAGAGGCGTCGAACTTCTTTATAGGAACATATGCGCTTCCAAAGAAAACCGAAGACAATGCACATGCTCCTAGGCCGACAGCTGTCGAACTCATTCCTGGAAACCTAATAACCATAATCAAATCAGATGGAGCTGATCCAAAGGATCTCCCCGATACAATAACTCCACAGATCTCCATTCTCCAACTATCCTGCTGGTTGCACAGCTATTGATTGCTCTTATGATGTGCTGTGAAATCTTCAATAAATGTGCCGCTTATACGACTTAATCACTAGACAAAATGGATGGAATATTATTTATGGATAGATTGTATAGGTATGAAACATCATCTAACAAAGTAACGAAGTAACAAAGGCATTTGACACACGAGATCGCTCCAATTGGGCGAATGTTGACGTATATCTACAAACATATCGCCTAGTACGTCCTCCTCGGACACTTCCTTTAGCTCATCATCTTCTTCATTGAGATCCTGTAATTTATAAGTGGAGATTTCTCTTTCTGCTTTGACGAATTTAACAAATTATACCTTGAGATGATCATATCGGACAATTATTGATGTGGCTACTCCACGAATATCTCCCGATGGAGGTTATCTTCGCCCTCAAATCAGGGCATATATCGCGCAGGACCCTGAAATTAAGCATTGTTGAGCTGGAAAATTTTGATTCACTCGAAATTTGAAAGCGGGAAAAGATTATTACAAAAAGCACCTATTTCGTTTCAGTTGCTTCCAATACAACTCTTTTCCACCTTCACAATGGCAAAACGATGAGCGGGCAGCGACGCTGTCAGCATGAACATCTGTCACATATCTAAAACCCTACATCGCTATCAAAACCCATCAAATGACCGCTATTACAGTAGTCAAGCATGCTTACCGATACAAATAATACCACTGCTTGTTCGAATACCATGCAGCAGAAACAAATATAGCATAAATAACGGCAAAAGACATTGCAGTTCCACCGAATATCCGAGCTGACTGAAAAAAGGAATATTTTTGCGTTGATTTATAAAAGTGTTACTCTATAAAATATTACGTTATGCAGCCAGTACGTAAATATACTCGTAAATGAGGTCCATGTTGCCCAAGATATACTCCGTTGAGCTAAGGACGCGTATCCATCATGGGCATGTAAATCTCGTAAAAATATAAATCGCAGAGCCTAAAAAAGAAAGAGAGTAACTATTCGAATAAAAGAAACAAAATTCAACAGAGTTTCATCCAAATTTCGAAACTGACATTTTCTGATAGAACGAAAGCATTAGCTAACTCCTTTCCAGCAGGGGTGTCCCACTGAATAGGGACTTGAACACCTAGAGCGTCGATGTAATGAGTGTGGTGTTTCCTGGAATCGCATATCACATTCAGCACAGGAGAGAGAAAAATAGGACAGAAGACATATAGGGAGAAAAAAGCCTATATGTAGCTGTTCCCCTCATTCTGAGCCATAGGAGGGAGTTGCGCTCGCTCTGGTGGAAGGATGGGGTCGCACTTGGGACGGGGGAGGTAACAGCTCAAGCACTGTAGGTTATATTCGAGGACAGTGGGGATCTGGAATTGCGAGCAATAACCCTACTTTGTTGTCATGTAGTATCAGACCTAGCGACACTACTGAGAACATCAAGCGAGGAAAAAGGGGGACATAGAGAGGGGAAGAGAGCCTTAGTCGTAGAATTTGTGTAGGAGAGGAGAACGCTTACATTGGCCAAATTTCCTCGACACCCTCGCAAAAGAACTCCCGTGCCACAAGAAGTAGTGACAAGAAAGGGCCCACTCACCTCAGGTATGCCAATGCTTCATCGACATTTTCAAACTGAGCATGACAGGGGACAGCAAGATGTAGGCCAGTTCGCACTCCAAGTGACCCAGCTGCTACCGTTTCATACTCGCCTGAATCTCGCCAGGATTACATAGTCTCAAGCCGACAAACTTCTCAATACTGCTCTTGCCATTTGAACTAACTTACTAATGAGCTTTCCCAGATGTTGCGAAACAACGGCATCTTTTGGAACACGTGACTCCGACTCTAGGAACCGTTCGTATTCCTACAACAGTAAACTTCAAACGCACGAAGCTATCTCACAAGATCTTCTATAGGATGCAAATATTCAGACCAACTTCTCGTGCAAGCTCCTTCAGTCTAGGCGGAAGCTCTTCTACCGAAGTATCTAAAATGACAAAAAAATGGTAATTCATTTGAAAGAGGCGATACGACTAATCCTGACCTTCGAGGAAAGGTGAAATTAACCAATGGACCATTAATGAGCAAAGAAGCAAGGGGATAGGCGATAATGGTTCCTCCGAGCAATCCGATCCGTAATCGTCGCCCAGCTTTCGTTTGCAAAAAGGCTGTCGCTTGCTCATTCCATTTTCTGTAAATCCACCACGCAAGCTGATTATCCTCGACAATCCAAAACTATTAAGGAACACGTACCTATAAGACAGTACTGCACGGGATAGTCGCATAACCAAAGTATCGGAACCTTCAATAAATGTTTAATGCATCAGCTGCGTTGTAAGAATCACGTGAATAAGGCCACGAATTCTATCTAGTCGGCCAAGGGATGCGACGTTCTCATAAATGAGCGGCAATATGATGAACAATACATCACGAATAGGGATCGCCGAAAACAACACTTTCACTATTTATTAAGTACAAGTCCTACTAGAAAGTACAGGATACAACATGAATACTGCAAAATCGATTCAATAACAACGAGTATTGACAATTTATACAAAGTCTGCAAGCATTAAACAACCTTTCAGAACGAAACAACTGCTAGTTCTGAGCTTAATAAAACTTTGAAAGACTATCGTTTTCTTTTGGTGCTTCAGCCATCGATTTACGGTGGGCGACAACATTTTTCAACCTCACTGAGAGCGGAACTGGATCAACCCTGAAGATTCACGTTTTGCTAAAGAAGAAATGAGTCTACGTGAAATTGAAGTTATCGAATCTACGCTAAACCATGATGGAGATCATGAAGGAAGTTCAAAAAATGCAGCTTACCTAACGTCTCCGTTTTTCGAAATATTTTGTTCCCCATCTTCACCTAGCAGCACTCGCAAAAATCTATTGAATTTCATTGTGGAGCCAAAATAGTCGCGAGCTCCTTGTAAATAATCCTCGCCCCTGCAAATTGTCGTCGTGAGGAAAAGTGCATAAAGTAGTCATAAAAACACTTCAACTCAGGAACAGGATCAGAAAAGAGTAGCAAACATTAGAAGGAAAGACAAAAAAGAGCAGCTTACATTTCAACAGCCTTCTCATCCGCCCATTTCACTTTGTATTCGTTATAGCTCTTTAAAAACTGACGAAACGTGCATGCGGAAATTACCATCCTATAACTGAACCGACGGCTACTCCAACGAAACTCGAAATACCTGAAAAAACCACCTATCCTGTATTCAATGCAACAAATTGAAGTGAATGAGGCAAGGGCAAAACGACGTGCTCCAATTTTTTTCCTGAGGTAATTAAAAAAGATAAAAAATTTCTCTGTGAAATATATCATGAATCCAGCACAAGTCGAGACAAAATGCTGCTTGAGAGATGTTTAACGACAATTTCGTTCACTAAGTCCAACGATCAACATAGCACAAAGAGTCTATTTCAGACAAAGTACCTAGAGCGATGCCATATCCTGCAGTAAATATCCCAAACCAAGCGAGAATCGGCGTGGAGAAAATGATGCCACTGCAAGGAGCATACATACAACACAAAATTACGTCGAATTTAGCACTGTATGATGTATAAATTGGACCAGTACCTGTTAGCGAGCTGAAGTTGCCGCTGTACAATGA